ATTTGTGGCTTTTTTTAGGTTAAATAATATTGAATCAATATGACTCTTTTCCAACTAGTAGATTATAGCTAACCCACTTGTGGGTGAAGTTAACTTTAAACAACACAATATGTTCTCTATGAAATTGTCTTGTAATTTATATTTGACCTTACTGAAAGTATTAGCAACTTGTACCATCAGTGTTTTTTTAAGTTTAATCACAAAACCTATACCAAGCTATAACTGCATTAAAAACAGTGCCTTTTAAAAAAAAAAACTGCCTCTTTTGATCAGCAATAATACTGGTTTGATATGATGATATACTGTTTAATTTGTTAGCTGACTTATCATTTTATCATGAAAAATCATATACACTTTCCATACATTCTGAAAGCAGAATTTTCAGCAGCTATATGACTTTTTTTTATCTTTGCCACATAATATACAACCAAGTAGATGATTTAAAACTCTTTTATTAATATTAATTGACAACTTAGAAATTATTAATAAATTTATTTATTTTTCCTTTGGAAACATGAGACATTTATTGAAAGGATGTCATATTTTCTCCCAGTATGTTTTTTATTTTGAAGGTTTTAAGCTTTCATTTATAAGAATTTTATTATAAGTAATGTCAACTTGGTCATTTTTGTTAAGCCTTGCATAAAAAATAAAATCACATTTAAATACCAGTCACTATAAGGTCTTATATCAACTGTCTTCTTTAAAGAATGCAACTGGAATAAAATTTTATTGGAATCAACATTTTTCTCAATAAAGTTTATATTCCAGATGCAGAAGTTGAACTTGAACTTACCTCTATATTCATCACATCGTCTGTTTCTTCTAAAAACAAAACAGCTCAGTAAAGGAAATGGGAACTGGTTAAGTTAAAAGATTATTATAGTCACAAAGTAAGGGGGAAATGTAAAGTAACTTTCTTTTCAAAAAGACATTTATAAATGACACTCAATTGAGAGTCGTGACAATTTGCTGGTCCCAGATCAATTCCTCCAGGACTTCACAACAAACTTCACATCATCTAAACATGAAACTAAACTGTGCAAGGTACCCATACTGATATAAAATTCACCAAGTTACCTGTCGTACACCAGAAAATTGAATGAGATGCCCAGGACCAGCTACAACAGTTCTAAAGTCCATTGCAAAATGAAAATATAGGGCCCTGCCTGAAAATAGGTAAGTCATTGTCCCTATCTGTCGGGAGCAATACTACATAATTTTAGGGTAAAATCATTTGGTTAGCCTAGTTCTCCTGCCTACAGCCCAGCTATGGAATTCCGAGACATAATTCCATTTTGGCCTCCGGTCACAACTGAGACCTCAATGATCCGGTCATGCTGTGATTCTCCAGAACAAGAAACATCCTAGGAGCTGAAAACATCCTGGGAGGTACAAATATCTACTCAGTTCCTTGCTGTTCTTGGATTGTTACATCTTATTTATGCAGGATGTACTGAACTCTCTGTAAGTCATTTGTTACATTTGTTTCTCCCGATGTACGGTAAGCTGGGGGCTTTTGTCTTTGCTGCCCAGAGCAGCACTGATCAGACCCAAAGCTCAGCTTCTTCTCAGTCTCATTTTTCTACCTTTCCTGTAATTGGCCTTGTGCTGCCGTGGCTCACAGGAGACTAGGACTTACTGCAGAGGTTCTAGTAATGTCCCCTTTCCCTGTTCCCTACACCTATCCAAGGGCCAAAGACTTAGCCCACGGCAGACAGGTGAGGCCAGGTGAGGCGTGCCATGCAAAGCATTGTATAAAGAGGGCCAGTGATGCAGGGAATCAAAAGGATTTCACCAAGAGACAAGGTATGAAGAAAAATCAAGGGGTAAGGGCCGGGGATGTAGCTCAGCGACACAGTGCCTGTCTAGCAAGCCCAAGGCCCTGAGTTCGATTCCCAGTATAAATAAATAGATAGATAGATAGATAGATAGATAGATAGATAGATAGATTTTTAAAAAAGAAAAGTCAAGGGTTTGTTTAGCTCAGGGTACACTGTCATGAGGGACTGCGGGCAAGTTTCCAAGACAAAAATCATACAGTGAGGTCAAGAGATTGGGGTTTTAAGGATATGGGAAAAGGGTCTAGGCAGGAGAATGTGATTATCTAAAGAATGTCTTCTAGATCACTCAGCTTGTAGCTCTTCTGGGAGCTCCTATATTGTCTTTAAAATTATGTTTACTGTTGCATTTTTGACAAGACCATTTCCTCTGGCTTGCAGACCTTCAGCATTAGATGAAAAGGTGAATAAGATCTATGCATATCTGTCAGAGGTGATGGCTCTGGACTCATTAGGAGGAACGAACAAGCCTGATTTCCAAAGGTTTGTTGCTGTTTTATGCTTTCCTACCCAGGAGCAGCCACTGCAAGGGGCAGCTGCAGCCATGGGAAGGGGCAGAAGTGCGAGGCCAGGAGGCTCAGGGCCAAGGGGAGGCGTAGACGAGGTGCTCAGGAGCCTGTCTCTGGGCAGTGACAAAGCTATGGGGATAGGATCGTGTTTTGAATGAAGGCTGTAAGACCCCTGCACATGCTCACTCATCTCATCTGCTTCGCTCACCAAATACAAAATCAAAGATAAAATTATTAAGAATTTCAAGATGGTGACCACAAAGCCACGGAACTCCAAGTGCAGGCCCTACTGAGTCAGACTGGCAAAAGTGCTCTGGCTGCCCCCCCTGGAAGTCAGCCCAGGAGGTGCCAGCAAGCGAAAGGATAAATGGGCTCCACATGGCCAGGCATAGCCTCTGCAGGATGAAGCACATCCGATGCACTCATGCTTTTTTCTTGTTCTTTCTGGTCATGACCCTCGAGTGTTGTCAAAGGACTCATGTCTGTGTAAGTCCTGTCCCCAGAGGTGGAAAGTGTCAGGGAAGTGAAGCCAGTACAGCAGCAAGACCATGGCCGGTTGTGAGACAACCCTGGGCTGTCTTCTCGAACATTCCGTGCCTTCATCTCTCTGGGCCCTGCTTCCTTATTACTAAATTCCTCACATTACCCTGTTGGCTTCCTCATTATTAATGAAAGCGCTAGGCTAGATGACCTCCAACATTCCCTCCGGCTCTGTTTCTTTTTCAGCAAAGAGATGTTTGGCAAAAGGCATTCAGCTTCTTGACTATTTTATCTCCATGCTTCATGGACTTGTTGTAATCTATGTGTTTTGATTCATCAGAGCCATATCTGAACTCTTTGTTCAGGTGTTGCTGCCGCATAGAAGCCAAAAGAAATGAGGTGAGTAATTTGGATGTGTGTAGATGAAATGGGCCCTTACATCCTTCAGGCTTAGCAGCAGATGGGTTAATTCTATCAACCTAGATTTTAAAATGACAATAATTATTACCTGAGCCAGATCCTTTTATCTGAGGTGCTCAAAAGGCTTTGTGAGTATTAACTCATTAATTCACTCTCTTCAAGCCATCCAGAGGTCAGGAGGAGTCTGCTCACAGCAAAATGGGCTGAAGGAGACAAGCAGGAAGGGGGAGGGAGGTAGGGGTCACCGAAATAGGTCTCTTGGAAGAATTAAATGGAAAATCCCTGTTGGTCTACTGAGAGCACTTTCTTCACGAGTGAATTCTGTAGACACTGTATGGCATCCTCTGGAAAATCCCTTTACCCTTTGCGTGAACTTGAGCTTTCTGGCTTCAGACGGACAACAGTTATGCCCAAAGCAAATAAAGGAGAGCATCTCATCCCTACAATTTTCTTTTCTCAAAGGAGAAAATGGGCTTTAAATTAAAGAATCACTGAAGACAGAACATCAGAATGACTTTGGCAAGGATTTGTTAAGTTCCTGACATATTTGCAGGTGGTTTCCATTAAAAGGCATCTGTTGAAAAACTACATTGCTAAAAAGTATTTTTGCAAAGTACTTTTATCATTAGAATCATTTAATTAACCCAACCATTCACCCAGGCTGTGGTCTGCATGGGGCCAGGTGCTATTCAGGCAAAATCTGTGGAACCTAGCTGGGAGTGGTGGCACACACCTGTAATCCCAGCACTCTGGGAGGCTGAGGCAGGAGGATTGTAAGTTCAAGTCCTGCCTGTGCAATTTAGCTAGACTATGTCTGAAAATAAAAAATAAAAATGACTGGGGATGTAGCTCAGTGTGAAGGTCTTGGGTTCAGTCTCCAGTACCAAAAAACAAAACAAAACAAAACTCTGAAAGCAGTTATAACTCTGTCAAAGAGATGAGATTCATACAAACAACTTGATAAATTTCTTGTTTATTACTATTCATTTATATCTGTTTATTGTTTATAACTTCATTTTTTAACTGACAAATTAACAACATAAAATGGGCAGAAAATTTGAATAGTACCATAAATCCTACTGAGTTGATGGTGGAAGGTGATCAATGTGTGCCCGGATGATCAGGAAAGCCAGGAAGAGTTCAGGGGGTCAGATGAACTAGGTCGTAGAGGTAGGAAAAGTGTTGGGATCAGAAACAGGATCCATAGGAATAAAGCAAAAGGCAGTTCAAGACAGGGACACGTCAAAGACGACCACGGGGCAGCTTAGTTCTTTGTGAAGCTGCGAGAAAGCCAGCCTGGCAAAACTATTGAGCCTGGATGGCCCAGTGAAGTAAGACCCTTGGCAGGGCATTCCCATGGGGCTGAGGAGGCAAAGGGAATCTGGAAATTGCAAGTAAAGCCATGGGCAATACCAGAAACGGCTGGTCCAGGTGAGCTGCCACCTCTGATGGATCACCAGGGCCTGAGGGAGGATTTCAAAGAGAGAAGAAAAGAGATACGCAGGGTAAGCAAAATTCCTCTAATTTACAATTTTACTTTTGGTTTTCAGTGAGGTTTTGGGGGGTTTTTTGGCTTTTTTGGTGGTGGTGGTGGTGGTGTTAGGGGTTGAGCCCAAGGCCTTTGCACTGAGCTGCCTCTTCAGTCTCTTTTAAAATTTTTATCTTTATTTTTTGAGAAAGGATCTCGCTAAATAATTAAGTTGCCCAGGCTAGGCTGAACTTGCAATCCTCCTGCCTCAGCCTCCCAGAGTACTGGAATTACAGGCATATGCGTACCACCACATCTAGTCCATTGACCATTTGAATGCTAATAATAGACAAAATTGCCTTTCCAATGGTCCAGTGAAATTCTTGTTAGTTTGTAAAATGGATGCTGTGTTGAATCTTACAATTAAACGAAGATGTAGGGAAGTCTCCGGAAATGGCGTTTTTAGGAAGTAGGTCAGAAGACGGATGAAGTGTCCCTCTCTGAGCCCAAACAGGCCTCGTGTTGCTTCCTGAATGCACTGAAATATATGAGGAGGACACAGATGTCCCTACATTCCCACCCCTTGAGGACCTCCTGGAAACCAAGGTCCCTCTGGTCAGCAGAAGAATGAAAAATAATGGTTCTCACCAAAGAAATCTGAGTGGATAAACTGCTGTGAAACTGGAATAGGTGTGTCTTTCTGTCCTTCCGGTTCTTTTTATAGGCACTGCAGGAACCTGAGTGAGGGCCTACAGCTCTTCCGCCCATTTGGGGAGAGATTAAAGAAGCTGAGGTTGTCTCCTTCTTACTCATTTGCAGTTAAAGCCTCACCACCACTACAGCCTCAGCTTCCAGAGCGGACAGACACAGAGGAGGTAAGTCGGGATTAAGGGGCCTGCTGTCAGCTACAAACCTGGATCACTCAGGCCGTCTAGTTTGGGAATAACTGAAGGGGAATGGGCTCGGGGATATTCAGTAGCAAGGTGGTTTGGTTTGGTTTGGTTTGGCTTGGCTTGGTTTGGTTGAGTTTGGTTTTCCCCAAATAAATATGTGGGATTTTTTTTTTATCAAACCACTTTAGTCAAGACATGAACTTTGATACTAAGCTATCCAGAAAGTTATTTGGAAAAAAGGAACCATTTTATATAATTCTTTGATAAACTACAGCTGTTGAATAATAACCTGTTGCATTGGATTGATTTGAATTGAAAAAAGAAACAGTCATTAAATTAAAATTACTGGGGAAAATCATCTGCCTATTCCTTCAAGCAGTGAATCCGTGTTTAGAATAATCGAATCAATGATCCACTGATGTAGGCAAACTTTGTTGACATAGCTGGAATCCCATCAATCACGCAAACATTGTCACATATCCCATTTTATGAAAAAGATTCTGTATTTGCTTTCAAAAAGCCTTAGAAACTGTGATACTGAAACGGATGAGTTTTCAAGCCCTGCCTGGGCAGCTTAGCAATTTAATGAGACCTTATCTCAAAAAAAAAGGGGTGAGTTATCTGGAGCCCCAAAGAAATCTGTTCTGCTTATTCCAGCTGAAATATGGGGCAATTCTAGCAGATAGCTTGGAGAATATTAGGTTAGCTTTCTCATTTGCTTTCCTGGCATCCTATATACAACAGCTATAAATCTGGGGGTGCTGTATGTACCAGCATTTCCCATCCCCCTAGACTACACTTGTATATATATGATCTAAACTACTCTAAGGAAGCTTAGGATTTAGATAAGTATCAGTAGTCAAACAAAATAGAACTTGTGTCTTCTCCGTGTCCTAGTGACAGTTTGGTAAAGGCATTTCCTTCACGTGCCAGGCATCTTCATGGGGAGTGAGAGGCACTATAGTGCCCTGCCTAGGACTCCTAACATCATTCTGAGGATGGATGAAAAATCACCTGTTTGTCTCCTCCTTTTTCTGCAGGGTGCAGGAAGACCATTCCCGTGAGGGCCACCTAGAAGTCACCATGTACGATGATTGCATGGAGCCCACCAAAGACTATTATCTCTTCTGTGACAATGAGGGCGCGTGGGGCATTGTCCTGGAGTCCTTGGCAGCGATTGGCATAGTGGTGACAATTCTGCTGCTCTTAGCCTTTCTGTTCCTTATGCGGAAAGTCCAAGACTGCAGCCAGTGGAACGTCCTCCCCACCCAGTTCCTCTTCCTGCTGGGTGTGCTGGGGCTCTTTGGACTTGCTTTTGCCTTTATCATCCAATTCAATGAACAAACTGCCCCTGTGCGCTACTTTCTCTTTGGGGTTCTCTTTGCTCTCTGTTTCTCCTGCCTCCTGGCTCATGCCTCCAACTTGGTGAAACTGGTCCGAGGTGGAGTCTCCTTCTCTTGGACAACAATCCTGTGCATTGCTGTTGGGGTCAGTCTGCTGCAGACGATTATTGCCATCGAGTATGTGACACTCATGATGACCCGAGGCATGATGTTTGTGCACATGACACCCTATCAGCTCAATGTGGACTTTGTTGTGCTCTTGGTCTACGTCCTCCTCCTGATGGCCCTCACGTTCTTCGTTTCCAAAGCCACTTTCTGTGGCCCATGTGAGAACTGGAAGCAACATGGAAGGCTCATCTTTGTCACTGTGCTCCTCTCCATCATTATCTGGGTGGTGTGGATCTCCATGCTCATGAGAGGCAACCCACAGCTCCAGCAGCAGCCCCAGTGGGACGACGCAGTCATCTGCATTGGCCTGGTCACCAATGCGTGGGTTTTCCTGCTGCTGTACATCATTCCTGAGCTCTGCATTCTCTACAGATCGTGTAGGCAGGACTGCCCTCCACAAGGCGATGCCTGTGGTATGGTCCCAGTCTACCAGCGCACCTTCTGCACGGAGAACCAGGAGCTCTCCAGAGGTACTTTCCTGCGGGGAGGTGGGCATGGCTCAGGGGACAGGGAGAAGTGCAGAGAAATAGGGCAGCTGGTTGACCAAGAGGGATCCAAAAGGAATGGTCAGATTTTTGGTGAGTAACTTCATAGTTCAAGCGTGGAGATGAAGACTCTCGGATTCAAGGTTAAATTTTTATGAAAACGTAGTTCTTCCAGAACAGAGAGGTTGATGGGGAGGCACCAAGACAGACAGGAATCAAAGATCCTAAGTAAACAAGGCATGACTCTGAGTGCACAAGCCGGGTAAAGAGAGGCACCCACAATAAAATCAGTTACTCACCCCCAAATGAGGCTTAGCCCATGCTATTGTGTGACATTGAATGCTATATCCAATTGAGTTGGCTATTGAGTACAAAAGTCAATCCTGGCAACAGTGATTAATATTTTAAAATTTTGAGTCTCAAAGCTAATTTGTCCCAACATAATCTTAAACTTTTTCTGGGACTCACCACTCATAAAAGCCACAGGACCCAACAGTTTCTGGATTTCCACTTTCAAACTATGAATTGTTTTAAATCTTTCAAGGTTTACAAACAAGCAACAGGAAGGATCATTTAATCCAAATTCTGAGTAAAAGTTCGATCATTGGTAGATATAATGCAAGTTGCTTACGTGATGTTTTCATAATAATTTCTGGGTCATATTTTTAGTCTTATGTAAGACCAAGCCACCTGACTCCATTGTGTTAGGAAATAAAACATATTATCTATAACAACAAAAATATTTTGTCCCCAGCAACCTGGGGGAAATAGTGCCAATTTCAGTTATCTGGAAATGTATCAAAACTCATTAATTCCTTTTCTGAAACATCTGGCCTGTTATTGAGAATTCACTATCATAGTTTTATATCAATTTTTATATCTTAATAGGCAACTAATTTCTCACATTTTATTTCTAAAGTGTACCAATGGTGTTATTTTATATATTATGCAGTACACATAATGTTCACCAAGCTAAAGAAATTAATGTAAAGCTTTCCTTTTAAGTGCATATACTTTTTTGAGCTGTAATCTATGGCTAATTGCACATTCAAATCAAATCCTGTTCATCTAAATGCTCCCATTAATTCTTTTCAGTTCAGTTGATCAAGAATCAGAAATTAACACTACATCCTTCCTCTGAAATTTTTTCATTGCTTGTTGATAATGTGTAATCAGATCACTGGAGAAGTGCGGCAGAATTGCAGAGTCCATCTTTCTGGAAAATTCTTTTCATAGTTCTTACCAGAAGATAGGATAAAAGTTGCTGTGTTGGTTTTGGTTGTTGAATGTTTCCACCAAACAAAAGTCAGAACGAAGCTCTCTGAGTTTCACAATAACCCAGTACACACTTGTAATGATCAATAGTCCTTACCTACCCCGTATATGGACCGTGTGTTCAAAATTTTCTAAGGAGTATCTTAGTTGAAGAGAGAGTGTTTACAAAAGGACATGTTTCCTGATTTGGCCAGGACAACCCTGTTACTCAAGTAAGGTTAGAAACCCATTTCTGAGCAGGAAATAATCTGCCAGTGAGAGTCATTGCCAAAGCAGTTTGATATTTCATGGAGAGAAAAAAATCAATAATGTAGTTAAAAAAAAAATTCTATATTTCTCTCCATGACTGGACAAAGTCACTAGAAACTTCAAGTCAGAGAATAGAATCAGAATATAGGTCACCAGGAAAAAGTACAAATGTCAAAAATTAGAAGACTACGTAAAACTCAATTTGAAAATGCAAGATTACAGCTACTTAGGAAAAACATACAAATAGATAAGGTTGGAAGTAAGAGCCAGAGAAGTAGAGGAACAGTAAGTGGAATAAGCCTGAATGTCATCACGGGTCAGGAGCTGATGGGGAAAGCTGCTCTCAGCTGCCTGGGGCAGTTTGCTGAAGAAACCGTCAAGGCACTATGTAAACAGATGTGGCTGCCAAGAACAACCTTGTCCTTGTCCTCAGCATGGGTCAGGATCCAGCAAGAATTTCCATCCCAGGCCTGGGATTCTTTAATGAGAAGTGTGGGGCAGAAAACCACAAAGATGATTAAGGGATTATAGCATCAGACCTGTGTGGAAAGGGTAAGACAATGATCCTGACCTGGCAGCTCTTGAGTTCTTCGTGTGCCTTTCTTGTAGATGACCGAAGTGTTCTCACTCCCTCTCTCTCTCTCCTCCCCTCTCTCTAAATTCTGGACTAAAACACATCATTTTGTCCAAGTCCATGAGGCAAGCACTTGTCATATGACTCTTCTGACTAATGCTGTTTGCGACTGTGGCTCCACTCGCATGAGTATTTGATTTACCACTGGGTTTATGACAGCAGAATTATTCAACTGAAAGAAAAGTAAGTCAAAGGATGATTAGTGGAGAATTTCACAAGTATGAAGACCTCCCTGCAAGAGGCCATTGTCCTGCTGTTTTCCATCTCCAGCTAAAAACAAGGGGTGGGAATTAACTTGAACCAAAACAGGAGAAATTTAGATCAAATATGAACATAAGGGATGGTAAACACTTTGCTGGAACAGATTAGCAAAAGGGATTAAGGACTCCATCTCCCCAGAAGTCTTTCCAGAGAAGATTAGACTTTATCTCTCTGAAGTGGCTTATGGACTTAAATCCAAGATATAAAAACATCTGGATAGAGAGTAAAAGTGCAGTCAGGCTTGCCACTACAAGACAGTGAACAAATGGGTATAAATATCCTTTGCCCTATCCCCTAAATATGTATTGATTGAACTTTTTAAATCAGTTGCTCTTCACCAGAATCTTAAGCCAAAAAGATAGATATATGCTCTCACAGAATTTGATTAATATTTTATAACCTCAACATATTGTTAGGCTCAGGAAACTGTAACATAAAGATGCTCAAGAGTAGGGCAAAGAATCTGCGCGTGTATAAATAAAGTAGTTAAAATGCAAAGTAAAAATGCACAAGCCATTATGTGAATGTTTAATTAGTCATTTACATGCATTTGGGATTATGCTATTTTTTAACATATCCTTCATTAATTAGATTAGTTTATGGATATGTTACTTGTTTTATTTGTGGAGTTGGTGAGTTTTTTAATATTTCTCTTCCCAAATAAAGTATAACTAACGTCCAAAAATAAATGGATGAATTACTTAATCAACTAAATCAGTTGCTCTTTTCACTGGAAATTTGCAGAAGTCTTAAATCTAGTAGACTATTAACTACCAACATTTTTGTGAGATAAAAACTTCTCCTCTATTACCTACTGTATCTGTTTGAGATTAATTAGAATCTCGTTACATCAAGCTTGCTAAAAGAAAGACCCACCCATGTTCGAAAGAATCACAATACTGTGGACACATGTGATGTGATGTTTGAATGTGTATAGACAAACCTAGTATGATTTTTTAAGATATTAGGGAAAAGATAACCAATGAATCTACATGATACAAAAATGAGACAAACCAGGAGAAAATTGTTCCTGCAAACATAAATCTTTGAGGATGTATTCCCAACTTTTGCTAAATGTAGTCCTTTTTGACAATTCTCAACATTTTTGTTCTTCAAAGCACATCCAGCTTTCCAAAGGAAATCCAATTCACATGGTCTCAGGTGTCACAATTGTCATTTGTTCCTCCACAGGAAGCTCTGTTTGCTACTCTTAGGTGTTTCGGGGATCTACAGAAGTTGATTTCATAGGTGTTGGGATAGAATTGTGGTTCTCCAAGGCTGGGGAGATTAATGGATGACCAGTGGATGCTACTACAGCCAAAGAGGGGAAAGAAGTGCTGGTGTGCTGTTATACAATAGGGAGTGCTGTGTCCTGTGTGTTGTGTATTTTCTTAAAAGCTAAAAGAAAGGATTTAGAATATTTTTCATCATAAAGAATTGATAACTGTGTCAGGAGGTAGATAATGTTTTCCTGGATTTGGCCATTAAGCAAAGGATACAGGTATGGAAATGTCACATAGTGCTCCATTATAGGTCCAATTTTATTTATCAGTTAAAAATAAATTGAAAAAGAGTTATGGGTCAGACGGGGTGGGGGAGACTAGCAGAGAGCAGGTCAGAAGACAATGAGTCCTGGGAGGCTTTGGGCAGTGTCCATGTGGGTCTGATATCCATGGAGACCAAAGCATAACTGGGCAGTAGCATCCGGGCTACAAAGCCTCGCTCTCCTTCTTTCTCACCACCTAGGAAAATTGTTCCTGCAAACACAAGACCAGGGGCTCCAAAGACCAGGAATCTACTCAGAGTCTTTGTTGATAAATGATGGTTATTTGCCCTTCCCTGCCTCCTCCATGTGTAAATATCAGGTCTTCCTCAACTTCCAGTTCCTACCATGAAATGGTTGCCAGTTGAATATAGAGAGATACTCAGCATTTTGGTAAATCCAGGAGCAATAACTGGAGCTGGAGAATTCGTTTTTCTAATATATGATTTGGTCTGATAAGAATGTCGGATGAAAGCTGGTTATCCAGGGACTGAGTGTGGAGGAGTCCTGTTATGCCACAAGGAGCAAAGTTAAGCCAAGGCTTCAGTTTGTTCTGCCTTGGAAGAAAGATAAGCATTTGTCTAGTGCAGTGGTACATACATTCCTGTAATCCCAGCTACTTGGGAGGCTGAGGCAGGAGGACTAAAGTTTGAGAGGCCAGCCTGGGCAGCTTAAAAAATCCTGTCTCGGGCCGGGGATTTAGCTCAGTGGTTTCGCCACCTGCTGTGCAAGCGCAAGGACACGAGTTCAATCCCCGGGACCAAAAAAAAAAAAATCCTGTCTCAAAAGTTTTGTTTAAAAAAGAAAGAAGCTGAGGATTTTAGCTCAGCAGCCCCTGGATTTAATCCCCAGTACTGGAACTAAAAGGAGTAAAGCAGGAGGAGAAGAGGAAGGGAGATGTTAAGACAAATGTTTCAAACCTCACAGCATCCAGCTCCTTTTAAAAATGCCAGTAGGAGGAGGTTCTCAGAGAATCAATTAAAACTGTACACCATCACAACCACCAATAAAAATATACAAAGAGCACATATATTTTTTTTACTATATCATGCTCTGATCCAAGGTTTTTATATATATATTAACTATATTCTTAAAACATCTCTGCAACACATTTACTATTACATGGTTGTCTTTTATTTCCATCAGGAAGCAAAAGCAACAAAAGGTTAAGGAACTTGGCTTTAGGTAACACAGATGAGGGACCCAGTAATCCTTTTCCAGAATTAGAATCCTTCTCTACTCAGCACTATAGCCCCGGAGTGGGAACACTAGTGACACAGTTATGTCTGTGGCCATCCAACAGCAAACAATGCATCGGGCACAGCCTGGCCTTGGAGCGAGACAAGCATCTGTCTTCTCGAAGCTTACATCTGGTTGAGAAGACAGACATTAAGCAAATAACTGTGTGTGGCTGCTCTACCACAGTATAGAATGTCTCTAGGGGTCTTTATTACATCCAGTCTTAAAAAGCAAGAATTAAGCTCAAAGGGACAATTTTTAACAAGTGTGATGCCCACATTTACACAATTAATACTAAGCTCTGGGGCTCATGCTCTTTCTCTAGAAAGTGATGGGGACTCTTCCCCCCCTCTAGTAACTAAACATCCATGTGCTTCTCCTGGACACATATCAACCTTCCTTGCACACTTCTAAAACACTCCTAAACCGTACATTATTTTCAGTAACAGCTCCAACTGAATATTGCTTTTCGAGGGTCAGGGGCCCCTTTGCAAGCCACTGAGCCATCTCGTAGACCTCACAAGCTGTTTCCCATGAATCTCTGACACTAACCCCGCCCTCCCTCCTTTGGCTTTCAGCCCGAGACAGTGACGGAGCTGAGGAGGATGTAGCATTAACTTCCTATGGTACTCCCATTCAGCTGCAGGTAAATGTGCTCCTCTCTTTTGCCCAGGAGAGACATAGTAAGCACGTCTTCCTTTGAAGAGCCTTCTGGCTCCACTTGCAATGGCCCTACTGACCTCAGACACGCAAAACAGGGCAGAATCATCCTCAAAGGCATGCAGAGCTTCTGCCATCCAGCTCCTAGCCTTACCAGGGTAGCACAAGACAGGCAAGGCTCCCATTCTCCTCTGCCCGAACCTGTGAGTCTCCTGTCTATTCTGATGCCGTGAATGTCTCCGGAAAGAACAAGGAACTTAAACGGTTTGTATGAGGGTGAAGAAGAGCCAGCTGACCAGGATTTGCATTGAGGTCAACAGAAGACCATAAATATGGGTGGGCACCGGCTCTGTTTTTAGGATCAGTTGACTAAATCCATCCTCTGAGCATCCCCCATTGCCTCTCTGAATCACTGTCTAGCTCCAGCCCCCAAGTCTTCCCCCAAGGACAGGGCAAGGTCTGTTGTCATCATCTGGATGCCCAGATAGATGAACCAGTTTTAATCCTTTTAGGGAAAAGACGGAGTAGATTGGGCATCACTCACATCTGTACTGTGATGGCTCCAAGACATTCAAATCCAGACGGCCAAAAATACCACTTGGGGACCCAGTGCTGAAATGATGGGGCTGGAAAGCAGCTAAAATCCAAGAATGAAAGGTGTCCTCAGACTGCTTGTTCAATGAACTTTACCAGGCAACTAGCTGAGCTAGGCCCTCTGGACTGTTATCTGAGATTTTTCCTTTTTCTAGAAAGACACAAGGATCAAGGGCATGGCTATAAATCATTTGCTCTAATTAACCCTCAGGAGGGCATTTACACAATAAGAAAATCTTTATTATCCCCTCTAAGACTTTCTTGGATGAGTTTCAAAATCCAGTAATCAGCCATTCCAGAGCCTTGCAAAAAAGATTCTTGTTAATGCCTAAGAGGGTAGTCTGAGATGAGTGGGCTCAGTATTTTTTTCTTTTTCATTAACAAAGAATTAAGTGATGGTGAGATGATAATATTTCAAACGCAGTTTGGGAGATGATTGTCCCCTGTGTTGGCTTGGAGTGTTATTGATGGCATTTCTTCCTTTCCAGACTGTTGATACCACACAGGAGTATCTCATCCCACGGGCGACTCTAAGCCCCCAGCAAGATGCAGGATTATAATATCCGTAGGAAACACGAACCGTGGAAATCCAAGCACACGTCCTGATCAAGGTGACTGGGGAAGGCTCCTGGAGAGCTCGCAAGTCACACTAGCAACGGGGCCTCTGCTGGCCCTCCTCCTCTGACTCCTAGCGCTTCCCATCCTCCAGGACCCTCCATCCAACAACTACCCTTCCCTGCAGAATTACACTCTTACTGGCCCCTGCATTGTCTGTGTGTCTCTTTCTTCACGTCTGAAGGGCTGCACTAGCCCTTTCCCAGCAAACCTGGAAAGAATTGGTGCCACGTATTCATGGGATTGAAATACCCTGGTCTGAAGAAATTAGGCTCATTCTAATGTGATGAAGTAGAGATGTTAGTAGCAACTTACCTGTTGGATTACTTCCCTGGTTAGTATTTTTTAGTCATACTTTTTAAAAAATAACAAAATATACCATTTAAACCAACATTTGAGTGTTCAATTCACTAGTAGTAGTTATATTGACCCTGTTGTATACAAAGGTCTCTAAAACTTTTTCTTTTAGCAAAACTGAAATTCTATGCCCTTTGAACTAGCCTCCCTGCCCCAGCCCCTGGCCTCCACCATTCTATTTTCTGTCTTTATGACTTTGGTTACTCTAGATGCCTCATACAATAGAATCATGACGTATTTGTCTTTTTGTGACTGGCTTACTTCACTCAATACAATGTCCACAAGGTCCATCCATGCTGTAGCATGTAACAGGCTTTCCTTCCTTTGAAAGGCTAAATAGTATTCTATTGTATGTATACATCACATTTTTCTTTATTCATCTGTCAGACATTTGAGTTGCTTCTACCTCATGGGCTCTGTGATTAATGCTGCAATGAACATGAGTGTACAAAAATATCTCTTTGAAATACTGCTTTCAAATCTTTTGTTTTGTTTTGTTGAGACAGAGTCTCACTATATACCTCAGGCTGGCTTTGAACTTACTATGTGCCCCAGGCTGGCCTTGAACTCACAGTGATCCTCCTGCCTCAGCCTCCTGAGTGCTGGGATTACAGGCATGCGCCACCACGCCCAGCTCTGCTGTCAATTCTTTTATATATATACCCAAAAGTGGGATTTCTGGATCATATGGTAATTCTATTTTAATTTTTTGAGGAACCTTCAGATTGTTTACCTTTGTGGCTACCTCATTTGACACTTTCACCAATAGTGAACAGAGTTCCAATCTCTCTCCTCAACCCCACCAATACTTGTTATTTCCTTGGTGTTTCTGGTTTTTGTCTCTATGTATAGCAGCCATCCTAATGAGTATGAGAGGTCTGGTCATTTTGCATAAAGAAACCCAAAAGGGCTGGGGAAGTAGATTCCTGGTGAAGCACTCACTTAGCATGCATGAGGCCCTAGGTTTGATCTCCAGCACTGCAGGGAGAGGGAGAGGGAGAGGGAGAGGGAGAGGGAGAGAGGGAAAGGCGGGGGGGGGGGCGGATAAGACTGGAAGCAAGAGAATCACTGTAAATTTGAGGCCAATCTGGAGTACACAGTGAGTTCAAGTCTAGCACAGACTACATAACAAGACCCTGTCTCCGAAAAAAAAAAAAAAGGAATTTTCTATAAAAATTATAGCGGAATCATCAGGATCACCCCACCTGGCCAGTGTAAATACATGGTCATTCCCACAGACTACAGGAGGGCCAGCTTCCTCCCCTGCTGTTCCCACCCCATCACAGCATGGCAGCAGACAGTGACCTGCTTTGACAAACCAGTGAGAGCAAAGGAACAGCCAGCCACTCCAGGTGGTGCTCGTAAAGGATGTTAAGTGGTGAACCTAAAAAGCAAGGTCCACCTGTCTCGAAGTTTCTAATGAGCCTCCGCCTCTGTGCTCATGGTCTTGCCTTCATTAGTCACGCAGCTCCACATCCTCCTCTCTGAGATTTCATCTGACCTCGATGCTCTTTTGTCATAGGGCCATGCCTCCAGAAGGGTACTTATTAGCATTCTTACCTTGAAGAGGAGAAAGCAGAACCTTGGAGGGATAGGATAACTTACTCAAAGCCACACAGGAGCTAGTGGTGGGCCAAGTTTGCTGACTCCTGGGCCAGACTTCTTATCCCAGAAGAGGCTTCTCGATGCCTATATTTCTACATTAACAAGTGAGGCATGTCCCCCTGGAGAGCCAAATGAGAGCTTCAGCTAGTGAGCTGTCCTTCACATGTAAGAGAGTCTTCTAGTGAACGATGTACAGCATGGATTGGTCAATAGCAGCACACATTTCTGAGCATCTGCCAGGTGCCAGGATTTATTCTAAGACTCAGCCCTAGACAAGGCAGGCAGTGGTGCTTTGGCAGAGCTTATGTTTTTGTGCAAGAGATAATACGATGCAGAGTACACAGTTTCTTAGTCTTACAGATGAAGATGAGTTTGCCCAGAATAATATGGTTTATTAGCGGCTGAACCAGAACCTGGGTTCTCAACCCCTTTCAAATGCTCATCTGCTACACATTCCTGTGTTTTTCTGCTACAGTAAAAGTAGCTGCTCTTTTTTTTAAACATGTGCCCTAAGCAATGTTATTAGTACAATCCAAGACCTAGGTAAATGACCGAAGCACTTGACCTTCTGCCCTTATTGGTAATGAAAAACTGAGAGAAAATGTTTAAGCTTTTGGTAAGACCCTGACCTGTAGATGAGGCAACATTCACATAAACGGCCTACTTTAAGAGGTAGAAACAAGCCATACAACTTTATGTCTGCCCTTAAAGAAAACAATTACCATTGATCCTCCTGGCTTTTATCCCAATAATGATGGTGATGACACCTTCAACATGATTTTGTTTTGCTTTGCTATGTTTTGCAGGCAGGAGATGTTTTCTACAAAGTCCACGGCAAATTTTTTAAAACCCTTCCGTGCCTAATAATGGCCTGATATGGTACTCTCTTCAAAAATATTTTTCCAAAAGTTAGTATAGGTAAAATTGAAACAAATTGCCTCTTAAGTTTATAGCGTAAGTTTACCACATTTTAGAGTAAGTATTAATGATGTTTGGGGAGAATGTAGATTGCACATATGTCACTCAGGCTGCCTTAGGAATGCAGTTTTATTGTAAGGTTACCTACAGCAAGGAGGTAAACTTTCTCCAGGAGCCCACTATAACCACCCCGATGGAGACCCTGTATCATCAGCACCCAGAGGAGCTTGCTGTCCCCACAATCCCCCTCAGGCACTTTGATATTCTTCGCCATCTCTGCTTCTTTAGTTGGCATTTTCACTTAGCCACCCGCTATCAGCTGACTAGATTCTTTCCCCAGAAGTCAGATTCCTGAGAAGGGTTCAGATTGGTTCAGCTGATCATTGTTTCTGATTGGGAGCTCTTTTGCATCAGCCCTCCCCTTAGGTTCCAATCAGCCCAGGGATTGGCTGCACTTGGGTCAGTACCCACCATTGGACCATTCAAGTGTGTCTGGCTTGGTCACGTGGTACAGATTTGGCCATATATGTCTGCTTTCTCTGTGGGAAGCTGTGTGCCGTGAAGTATTCTGTGGGCAGCAGGGAAAGGCATAACATCTACCATAAGTGACCAGTGCAGGAGAGACTAATCCAGAAAAATGTAATGTATGAGATTATAGAATATTTTTATGACTTAAAAGAGAAACTATGATTAGCATATTTTACCCAATTATTAAATTCACCAAGTATTTGAAAATCTAAATTCATCTTATATGTAATGGGTTACACAATTCAAATGATCCTTATTCTCTTAAATATACTAGAGAGTTCCCATATGACTTTATTTTACTTAAACAAAAACATATCAATGAGAAACTTCATTTTAAAATACCTGCCAGGTATAACATAGCTGAGTTGGTTAAAGTGCAGGTCTAATAAAATATCTACCCAGGTAGAATTAATATTTCTTTCATCTTGATAGTTTTTCCCTGACTTAAAGAACATCAAAGATTTATTTCTCTCCCCATTAAATTTCATGACCTCCCCACAAGCTTACAGAGCTTTCTATTTATTGTTTAACCTATGGTTGGATCAAGTTAAAATTTTCCCATTCTCTCTATTCACTTTTTTTGTCTATTAAACTCTACTTCCTACTGTAATATCTACCTTATATTAGCCAAATTCATGGGTTCTTGTTCTTCATTTCATACTTTGACAATATATTCAAAAAATCTACCTTTTCCTAGTTACTTTGATGATATAGAGAGATAGGGTTGTCACACACCAAAACCCACTTAAATTCTGGCAGAATGGGGGCTGGGGATTTAGCTCAGTGGTTTCAGCGCTTACCTCACAAGCGCAAGATCCGGAGTTTGATTCCCAGTACCAAAAAAGAAAAGAAAAAAATATTCTGGCAGAATGAGGTAATCAAGAGACTTCTGCATCCTCCTCCTCAGAGAAAACCCAATAAGCCTCCTTTAAAGAACACAGTTAATAAGGATTGAGTAGAAAGATTCTCTTTGCTTTACTGGCATAAAAGTTTTGCCCTTGTGGGAGGGCTTCTCAACATTTAAGGGCAGTAATCACGAAGACCTTGACTATGAAGAAGTGACACCTGACATCAAAATAAAAAAAGACATTTGCTCAGAGCTGCTCAAAATGTCTTAATGGGCCAGGCCAATATTAAGCTCCAGTTTCTTGCTAGCAATCATGTTTACCAGTCTTCAAAGACAGTATTTAAAGTTAAGTTTGTGTTTTAATATTTATCACAACTTAGTTACTCAAAGGACTTTAAGCTGGCACAAAGGTGTTGTACTGCTTACATGACAGAGCTAGAATGCCCTTCCTGCTGCTACCTTCAGGAAGGTCTTAACCGTATGATTGGCTTCCTATAATGGCCAAACCATTGCATCAGAGATGTGAGCACAATACTGAGTTTCTAACTGATTCATCCCCCAAAGATCCTCCAAGTACACTCTGGAAATGTCACTGGATGGCTTTCTGGACTTTCTTTTTCTTTCTTTCTTTCTTTCTTTCTTTTTTTTTTTTTTTGGTACAAGGGATCAAACTCAGGACCTTGCACTCGCGAGGCAGGCACAGTGCCACTGAGCTAAATCCCTGGCCCCTTTCTGGACTTCTCTAAAGACAGCGAAGGTATTAGAATGTGAACCATATTTACTATCTGGTTAAATGAAGTCTGAGTTTGTAAATGGAAGGTTCTTTAGAAAAGTGACACTCATAGGACTGAAGATAAACTAAGATGGAGGGAATTGCAGCTGCATCTATTACCACCCACTAATTTCAAGATCATGGTATATATGCTCCAAAGGAGGTACAGAGGGCATTATTCATGAAAAAGGTATAAAATAGGTAAAACTGTGA